TACCATTTGGTTTTTATATAAGTGTTTGGTTAATCAAACCAAAAATTAAAATTATATATAAATTTACAAAACTCAATATGATGATATCTTATCTATACCGAGACCCATTTTTATGCCTGTTGATTCAAAATAATTCGGAAAAAAATACAAAAGCCCACTAGCTATCTTAGGATCCTAAGACTGTGGATGTTCTTCCCCCTATACAAATAATCAAACTAAATAAAATACAATAGTCTAGCTTTTTTTTTTTTTCCAACGACAATTCAAATTCATTAAAACTCAAATAATGTTTTACATTCGAACTTTCAAATGATAGCAACCAACACAGAGATGTCAACAAGCACCCCTTACACTTACAACACAAATCAACAACGAGCCATTCACACTTATTCAGCAATAGTGTATTGACACGTGTTCTGCAATAATTACACTTTGAACACGTGTCAATACATTAAATGGTGAATGACTCCATAAGAAAACCATCCGATTGCTTCATAGAATTTTTGCCAAACCACAACCTAGACACCAAAAACAAAAGAAGAAAAGGAATTCATCAAACAATATAATGGAAATAGAATGGTCAATATTGCCTTGTCATCTAATCCACATCATCATTCTCAATCCATGCAGAAGCAACGAGCTACCATGCATGCACACATAATGCCAAAATGACAGCACACTTTTGTAGTACATTTTCTGTTAGGCTTTCTTGTTTTATTCTAGCTTTATGTGCCATTGATCATAGAGGAGATTATTTAAAATGAACGGCTGATATTGGACAGAGTTTAGTCTATATATAGTATAGTGTAAGGTAGCAGCCGAGTTGTAAGAAATTGTAACCCTAATCTTGTCAATGCATTGAATTCAAGAACAGCTTTTCTCTTTGATCTTCTTTTTATTCCTTAGCTATGGAGATTAACATTTCCTTTTATGGTATCAGAGCTGGTTAGCCAGACCAGCATCTGATTTCACCTTTCTCTTTTCTTTTCTTTCAAGATCCAAATCTGAAAAATGGCAGCTCAAATCTCAGAACCTATAATACAGCCACAAAGCCAACTCATTAGCATAAAGTTATCTGATTCTAATTACCTTATCTGGAAGCAACAAGTCTTGGCAGCAGTCAGAGGTCATGGTCTCGAAATTTTTCTCAATGGTAACAACAAAACTCCAGATGAGTTCATCACAGATCCAGATGCAGATACTCCAAGACCAAATCCAGCCTACCTCAGTTGGGTGAAACAAGATCAACTCCTTGCTTCCTGGCTTCTTTCTTCCCTTACTGAATCTCTTTTGATATCTACTGTGGGGCTTACAACTTCTAAAGAGATCTAGGAAGCTCTTGAGACTGCCTTCTCAAGCCAAAATGCTGCCAAGGTCATGCAATACAAGCTAAAGTTGCAGAACACCAAAAAGGGAACTGGATCTATGAAGGATTATCTCAATAGCATTAAATCCTACTGTGACCTGATATCAGCTGCTGGACAGAGAGTTAGTGAAAAGGATCAAATCTCACATATCTTGGCTGGACTGGGAAATGACTACAACCCGGCCATAGTCTCCATTTTGAGCAGATCTGATCCATGTAAGCTGAGAGAGTTTCATTCCCTTCTTCTCAGTTTTGAAAACCGGCTTGAAGTCACTGAAGGTAGCTATGCTGAGGATAGTGGCCACTTCTCTGTAAACTACACCTCTCAAAACAAACGAGGAGGTTTCAGGAGAGGTGGAGGACCACCACAGCTCAACAGAGGAGGAAACAACAACCCAGCTAGGAGATTTGCAAGAGGAGGACCTTTCAGAGGTAGAGGAGGAAGAAACAATGGCAAACAAAGGTGTCAAATATGCCATTACAACAATCACACAGCTGAGAAATGTTATTATAGGTGTGATCTCAACTTCATTCCTAGGAAAGGACCAAACACAAGCTATCAAGGAAGTTCAAATGGTAGCCAATATGGAGGAAGCACTTCAGTGAACTTGACAGACATGAACTCAACAGGAGGAGCTCATTCTGAGCTATGGTTTCCAGACTCAGGTGCCACAAATCATGTGACACATGACTTAGCAAACCTCAACCTTGCCACTGAGTACACTGGAGAGGAAAAGGTTCATCTTGGAAATGGATCAGGTATGAGTATTTATCATTTTGGTGAGTCCATAGTTGTGTCCAATGAACATCAGAAATTCCTTTTGAAAAGCCTTTTACATGTGCCAAACATCACTAAGAATTTGATTAGTGTCTCACAGTTTGCTAAAGACAACCAAGTCTTTTTTGAATTTCACCCTCATTTTGTCTTATCAAGGATCAGGTTACAAAGGAAGTGCTGCTCGAGGGAGCAACTAAAGATGGTCTCTATAGTTTCTATCTCCAAACTAACACTACTGAACCCAAGAACCATGCTTCTCAACCAATGAACAAGAATCCCATTTTACTTTTTGCATAAATGAAAAATAAGCTTAGTCTAGATGTTTGGCACACTAGGTTTGGACATGCTAGCTTTGATATTGTAAGGAAGGCTCTGAATTATTGTAATGTTCCATTTTATGACAATGAGAATGAAAGCCTGTGTTCACCTTGCATGAAATAAAAAATGCATAAATTGCCTTTTCTTGCTTCTGAGTTTAAAGATGTTGCACCTGTTGAATTTATACATTCAGATCTTTGGGGGCCAGCCCCAATTAAATCTTTTCAACGATTCACCTATCATGTGTCCTTCATAGACTATGCAAGTAGAAATACTTGGGTCTATCTTCTCAAACAGAAATCAGAAACCATAGAAACCTTCATTCATTTCAAAAACCTTGTTGAAACTCAATATTCCAAAAATATTAAAATTTTCCAGAGTGATGGGGGAGGAGAATTCATGGGGTTAGCTAAATATCTCTCTGAAAATGGAATCAAACACCAAATATTATGTCCCTATACCCCAGAACAAAATGGTCTGGCTGAAAGAAAGCACATACACTTAATACAAGTGGCTCTCTCTCTCTCTCTCTCTTAGCTCAGTCTGGTTTACCTTCATATCATTGGGATGATGCAGTTTGCAGTGCTGCATTCATATAAATATAACACCTAGTAAGATCCTCAGTTACAAAACTCCTTTTGAAGTCTTAAATGAGAAGAAGCCAGATTACTTTTTTCTTAAAACCTTTGGCTGCCTTTGTTACCCTTTAATGAAGCCATATAATAAGCACAAACTTGAGTACAAAAGCCAGCCAGGAGTGTTCCTTGGTTATAGTAGTAAACACAAGGGATACAGAGTGATGCTTCAAAATAAAAGGGTGATTCTCACTAGACATGTGATATTTGATGAAGGATAAATTTCTTATAAAAACCAAGCAGGAAGTTTGAAAAGCAATGAATCCTACACTGAACCTGCTCCCATTCATTTGCTTGAACCTTTATATAACCAAACTCCCTCTGAACCTGATGCACCTGCTCAAAATACCAATTCATCTCATTCTTAAAGTCCCATATCAAACAGTTCGAGTATCTCACAACCAAATTCACCTAACCTTGATGGACACATTTATGTTGACTTGCCACTTGAGAATATCTCATCACCTGATACTGTTACTGACCTTTCTGTTGAGCCTCTAAACAGCAATGCAGGTGGACACTCAATGATAACAAGAGCAAAGGCAGGCATTTACAGGCCTAAGATTTACTTATCAGAAAATTCCAATGAGAGAGAACCAAAGGATGATTATGAAGCCTTGTCCAACCTTAACTGGAAAGATGCAATGGAGAAGGAATATGAGGCCTTGCAAAAGAATAAAATATGGAGTCTGACTACCCTACCAGCAGATAAGTCACTCATTGGGAGTAAATGGGTTTACAAGATCAAGCACAATGCAGATGGCACTATTGCAAAGTATAAGGCAAGATTAGTTGCCAATGGATACACTCAATATCCAGGTTTTGATTATGGTGAGACTTTCAGTCATGTGGCCAAGTTAGCAACCATTAGAACTGTTTTATCTATTGCTCTTGCCTTCAACTGGTGCATGAAACAAATTGACATAAACAA